TCATATACACACTCCCAGTCAGAACAATGTCTGGTCTTATGTCCATATACACACTCCCAGTCAGAACAATGTCTGGTCTTATGTCCATATACACACTCCCAGTCAGAATAATGTCTGGTCTTATGTCCACACTCTCTCCCAGGCAGATCAATGACTGGTCTTATGTCCACACTCTCTACTCTCCCAGGCAGATTAATGGCTGGTCCTATGTCCACACTCTCTCCCAGGCATATCAATGGCTGGTCCTACTTCCACACAAACTCCCAGACAGATTAATGGCTTTGCTGATGTCAACGCAAACTCCCAGACAGGTTAATGGCTTTGCTGATGTCCACAGCTCCCAGTCAAGTTGGTGGTATGATGTTTTTGACTGATATCCACTCAATCTGAATAAGATTTAATTTATAGAAGGTTGTTAAACCTCTGCCCAAACACTCCCAACTAGCTATAGATGATTGGCTGCCTGCTTATACTACCCTGGAAACTGAAAAGGTCGATCCACCACGCACAGCCTTGGTCTTTAGTCTATGCCTACACAGCTTGGCCATTTTAAAGGCTGGACTTCTACCCACATAACTCAAAAGCCATCCTAAAAGCTGATCCCACACCCCACTAGGCTAATCAATGGCCATTCAACTACATGGCTCAGCCAGGTCAATGGTTTATGTACAGCCCAACAAGCCCTCAGAATCCTATTCAGGTTAGTTGTTTATCTGCAGCCAACCCAACCCGTGCTGTATTGATGGTTGGTCAAGCAAGTAGGCTGCTGCGTCTGTATATACAGTTTTACATAAAATTACAGTCTATGGTGGTATCACAAGTGTGTCTGCTTGTCACTTTGGGTTGTGTATGTATGTAATTACAGTATGGTGACCAGGGTGGCCCAGCCTGCCCCAGTCTGACCACTGATTAGTGGTAGCGGCAGACGTTCTCATCTTGCTGCTGGAATCCAGCTAGCCTTTAATATTGATACCAACATTTATTTCTAACACAGTACTAGTTTATCAATCGATTCAGGAATGGTGATTTGATTTATTGAGTAATGATAACAGATCTCTATACCATAGAAAAGGTTGAAATAGTCAAACTCAATATTGTTACACTGTTTTATCCATAAATTAGTTTAGAGCCATGAAGAAATCAAAGCTTGTTCAGACTAACAATGGTTTGGTCAAGAGAAAAGACCACTAATGGAACTGTTGTTCTTGCTGCTTAAGTGATCAGGTTAGCTTGCTGAACAAAGACACAGGTTATACAGTGTGGATCTGCCTGATTGGCATTGTTTTGTTACTAGTCTGTTGGTGACTTCATTGTACCATAACAAAAACTTAAGGGTTAAATCAATTACAAGTATAATGTTCATTTCATTAAAGCTCCATTATTAAATCCTTATGCTGATAGTCGATGATGACTGTGACCAAACAAAGAAAAAAATATAAATTTATGAGTTACAGGTAATTTTAGTGTTTGTCAATCATTTGTAACTGACAGATTAATGTGCCTACCGTACTTATAATGAACTTTATACCCATGTACATGTAATTTTAATTAAAAGTGATAACCCTGCACTAGAGATTTTCCAGTGATGCCAGTCTTATTAAAGTTTCATGGTTTAGGAGTCACTGTATGTAATCAATATTACAATGTCTCTGATGATTTAGTCGTAAGGCCTTGTGTTTGTATTCTTGACCTAATCAATATTACAATGTCTCTGATGATTTAGTAGTAAGGCCTTGTGTTTGTATTCTTGACTTAATCAATATTACAATGTCTCTGATGATTTAGTCGTAAGGCCTTGTGTTTGTATTCTTGACATAAGTATGCACTGGTACAGCTATACACACTTTATTATTTACAAGCCTCAAGTAATGTTGTAATATGTCTGTGGGAGATTTGGACTTTGTTTGCTAGACTTTATCACATGACTGGCCTTGATCATGGTTGTTAATTAGTCCCCATCTTTACTACCATAGGGTACTACATGTTCACAATCTGTCAATCCGTGGATCCCTTTGTCCAAAACATAACTCGTATACTGTATCAATACAATATCCCAAGTTTGTATGTAAGTACTTCTTCGGATTGCGCAGTGTACATGTCACATAATGAAATTGGGCCTTGTTTCCCACTAACGGGGTATATGTAGAGTTATGGCCCTTTGTTCAACATGCAGAATTTGTTTGTGGCATATTTCACTTACTCTATTTGGTGTTTTTTGGTGTTTTTTTGATTGAATAGAAATTCAGGAGTGCTGTGTTCTCACCTCAGAATGACAGTTACATAGATTTTTCATAAAGAAAGTAAAACAATATCAGTTGACATATCTCATTTTTGTGTAATATTGCTTATATTCATAGGGTAAACGTATGTAAGTATACTGTATTCACAAATCTGACAGAATTTTAACTAACTCTATTTTATCAGGAACAGACATTGCTTGTCTTAATTTGATTTGAAAAGATAAGATATAGTTTGTCAAAATTTGATTCTAACAGAATAAATTTTAATGTTAATACAAACACACACCTATCGCTCTACTTGGTCACTGCAAATGTCCTGGCATAGCTGTGCTATTGGTATATCCATAAAGAAATATTAAGGGGAGGTAAATACTGTATATCAGAAAAACCACAGTGCAGCTGGACAGGGATCCTTAATATACTTATTCAGTGGTAGACGTGGTGTTTATGTTATTACAACAGGACAACTCGCAGTCAGCTAATACTGAGACTTAGTAATGTGTAGGTAAGGCTGCAGCCTGGGTGAGGAAACTTCCTTATGGTGTACTGTAGTGTCATTGTGTTGTTCCTATCAACAACAAAACAAATCTGCCAAGAAATTATATTTTATGAAAAGCAGTATATATACAATGCAGTATATGAACAATGCAGTACATTTACTGATATGTATATGCATGTTTTTATAAAATGAAACCTGCACTTGTGTGAAAGAATATTTCAAGTACAGAATGTGGATTTGCAATTAGTTTTTAACAAAAGCAAGAAATTTTAAGGCTGAAAAAATGGATAAAGACTCTTATTAATACACATGTACAGACAACATTACTGTATACAGTTGTGTTGTTGTGATATCTAATTAGGACAATATTAGTGTGGAAAAACGTGTTAAATAATTATCTATATTTCATAATAAGTATGTTTGTAATAACCATGCATGTTCTACTGTAACACAGTATACATAACTGGCTGCTTCGTAAGAGTAAATTTTGTCAAAAATAACATCAGCACGGAACTTAATGACATTCTTTGGATACTAATCGCTAACTGACTTATGATTTTTGTTCTCCTTGTAGCTCAATGACGGGGGAGACTAATGCTGGTCCTTCTGTGTGAAGATAAAGATGAACAACCCTGTCCACCGACAGCGAATCCGAAAATGTGGTTGGTTACGCAAGCAGGGGGGAATGGTGAAGACATGGCATCGTCGCTGGTTCTGTCTCAATGGTGACTGCCTCTTCTACTTCAGCAAGGAGGATGACCTTAAGGCCCTGGGCTCCATCTTCCTCCCTGGTAACAGAGTGGTGGAGCATCCCTTCAACCCAGATGACCCTGACAAGTTTCTGCTGGAGATATTTCCAGGTACACTAGTGATGTGTGATGAATATGTAAAGAAATGATTCTCTGTTAATAGCTTATCAAGGTTTTTTCTTTTTTCATGAAATAATCAATCTCTTTGGCTTTTTAACTTAGTTCTTTTTGTCTGCTGAAAGACCCTGTATTACAAGTTATAAGAAACCGCTGAAGAATGGCTACCATTTAGACATGGCAGTCTAGAGTATCACAGGTACAGGAGTTCCAAACAACTCTTCTCTTGCTTGTCAGTTCTGTATAAACACCACTTAAAATAACATTGATATTCAGCTTTATACTGGTTGAACCTATCAGCATTGTCAAGTTATTGTTTTCCCCTTGTTTTTGCTTTGTAGAATTTTAACATAGAGGATTGTAAAGAAGCCCGATTGGACTCTGTATACTTGGTGATATGTCATGGCTTATAACATGTACGAAACTAATAAAATCTCAAAGAGAGAAATTCATATGTATTGTTAGAGGTTTTGTTACGTGACAAATCAGCTCTGTTTTTAGGAATGCAAATGAATCTCCTTTTTTCCCTTTTTCTTTCTCACCTGGCTTTCAGTGTAGTTTGCTGTAAGGTAACAATGATATCTTTCAGATAAAAAGGGAAAACGTGCAACAGGTGAGAGATTTTGTACACACTAGCTATTGTTTGACCTGTTTGATCTGTATCCAGGGTTCCACTAACTCTACTTATTACTACGGTGTATCTCTGTAGCATTGCTTTCCCTGATGACCAGCCTTGTGGACAACCTCACCCTGATTCAGTCCACTGTCCAAATACTACTCAACACAGTTCTAAAAAAAATCTTATGAAAAATAATTTATTCATTTCATTGCATGATCAACCTAAAATTAATGAGTTATAAATTTTGATTTGTGTAGTTGTTAGAGTTTTCATCAGTTTTATGTTTAATGTGATTTGATGAATGTATGTTTCATTGACACACGCATGCGTGACACTGAGGTAAAACACAAGTATCATAGCCTTTCATTATAATCATCGTGTCTTAAACACATTTATCTTAGCCTTTCATTATAATCATCCTGTCTTAAACACAAGCATCAACTTGGCTTGTAGCTAAATACTCACCAAGCCCGTCTTATACTGCAGCAGCCATTTAGCTTTTATTACCCATAGGATGATATTCTCTCTTTTTATACCACCAACTTATTTTGGGGGGGACAGGGAGTATAGTTATTGCAAAGGGTCCTTTTTTAAATTTATTTAGGGGAGGTGTTTGTTTGTATAAATACTTTGTCAGGGTGTTCATCTGTCAGTAGTAAAAAGGGTGTGTTTAAGATGCGTCATTGAACCTTCATCAGATTTAGTTCATGTATCAGCATATTACCAGGTAAGTAATCATCCACCAAAGTTAAAAGGTCAAAGGTCACACTTGACCTCTATACTAATCATCTTTTGGATCCCAGAACAGATTTAGTGTAATATTTATCTACACCATGGTATAGTAGAATTATTCACTTCTATGTAAGATTTTGAATAAGGGGAGTTTTGATAAATGACTTGTGTAGTGGTTCCTGCTTTTAAAATATAATGAAATCAACCAATTTTATATTAATTTTGTATATTCTGTAACGCTGAAACATTAATTTTATATTTTATTTGCTAGGAGACACATTTGGGCATTTAGATCTTTCTTTAACATTATTTATTCACAATTTATTGAATTCACATTCTTTAAATGATGAACCTAGATGATCACAAATAAAATGTATAGGTATTCCTGCAGTAGTTCATGAATGAAGTAAACATAGAAGGAGAGTGATGTACACTGTATGAAGAATTGAGGATCACCACTTCAGTTAATCTAGCCTGAAAGGCCAATCAAGGTTATGGTGTGTTGTGGGGCCATCATCGGTCCAGCTTAAATGTTTTTAGCTCACCTGCCCGAAGGGCAAGTGAGCTTATGCCATGGTGCGGCGTCCGTCGTCCATCCGGCATCAACTTTTTACTTCAAACAACTTCTTCTCAATAACCAAAATGGCCAGGGTACTGATATTAGGCCTGTAGCATGCTGGGATGAAGGACTACCAAGTTTGTTCAAATGAATGACCTTGACCCTCTTTCATGGTCACTGGGGTCAGATGTCTTAAAATCTTCAAACAACTTCTTCTCAATAACCAAAAGGCCCAGGGTACTTATATTGGGCCTGTAGCATGCTGGGATGAAGGGCTACCAAGTTTGTTCAAATGAATGACCTTGACCCACTTTCAAGGTCACTGGTGTCAGATGTCCTTAAAATCTTCAAACAACTTCTTCTCAATAACCAAAAGGCCCAGGGTACTGAAATTAGGCCTGTAGCATGCTGGGATGAAGGACTACCAAGTTTGTTCAAATGAATGACCTTGATCCACTTTCAACCTGATGTCCTTGTTCGACATTCAAGGTCACAGGCGTCATATGTTTAAATCTTTTAATAGGTTCTTATGAATCAAACACTGATATTCTGCCTGTAGCTGTATTTTAGTCCACTTTTAAGATTACAAGTGTGAGATTAATACCAGGTGAGCGATGCAGGCCCATTGGGCCTCTTGTTTCTTTAAACAAGTTCTTTTTACAACAAAAGGTTTTGAGGGTGATGATATTTGGTCAGTAGGATAATAGAATAAAGGGCTAATATATTTGATCAAATAAATGACCTTGACCCACATTCAAAGTCACAAGGGTCAATTTTGTTGAAAACCTTTTTGAAAAGCCTATTAAAATAATTTGACCTTGAAAACCCTTGAAGGTCACAGATGAGAGATGAATAACAGGAGAGTGATACAGGCCCATTAAACATTTTGTTCATAGTTCCTGAAATTTAAAACAAAGCAAAAAGCAGACAAAAAATACAAGTTTAGTTACTGGTAAAAAACATTGCAAGTTTCATTATGAAGACATGAAAATACAATGTACTAAGACAGCCTCTCTTTTGGGTCTTGCTCTGTGCTCATCTAGCCATTCTAAACATGCAGGTTGGAATATATAAAGGTCTTTCTATCCTGGCTTGTGTAATTGGTAGTGCTGCTATAGGCTCAATGTAACCTGAATTTCGAGGAAATTAGAATGGTATTACATTGTAACAACATTTACTTGGAATTTAGATAGAAAAATTTCTAAAGCGGTAACTAGATTAAAAATGTATGAAATTGGGTAGTGAAATGTATGTGTATTAGGTTCTAGCATTTGTTGGTGTTCGTAGAAGATTACACAGGATGACATATGCTGTCTGTCAGCCCGGGTCTGTGTGGGAGATGGGAGTGCTGACAATAATGACTGCTGTGTCGCCAGTCTAATCTCTGTTAACACCGTTTGGTGTGTTAATTCATTCGGAAGAACTCCCACGTGTATGCAACTTCCAACACTAATGAATTACATAAACACTCACACAATGATTAGTTTATTTAATAAACAATGTTATACATTGAGTTAAAGATGTTGACAATGAAAAAGTATCATTTTACACATCTTTTGTGAAAGAAAATATGAATTTTATTTTTGCCATGTATTACAGATGTCGGCTAAGAATATTAGGAAGTATCGTTTTATTAGGTCATCTGGCACGAAGTGCCAAGTGAGCTTATGCCGTGGCGCAGCGTCCGTTGTCCGTCCATCGGCCGGCCAGCCGGCCAGCATCCGGCGTCAATATTTTACTTTAAACGACTTCTTCTTAATAACAGAAAAGCCTAGGGTGATGATATTTGGCCAGTAGCATGCTGAGATGAAGGGCTACAAAGTTTGTTCAAATGAATGACCTTCAATTACATTCAAGGTCACAGGGGTCAAATATGTGAAAAACTTAAAACAACTTCTTCTGAATAACCAAAATGCCCAGGGTGATGATATTTAGTCAATAGCATACTAGGATCAAGGGCTACCAAGTTTGTTTAAATGTATGACCTTGAATCATATTCAAGGTCACAAGGAGCAAATATGTTCAAAATATTTAAACAACTTCTTCTGAATAACCAAATAGCTCAGGATGTTGATATTTAGTCAGTAGCATGCTGGGATCAAGGGCTACCAAGTTTGTTCAAATGAATGACCTTCAATTTTATTCAAGGTCACAGGGGTCAAATATGTTAAAAACTTTGAACAACTTCTTCTCAATAACCAAAATGCCAAGAGTGGATGAAGGGCTACAAAGTTTGTTCAAATGAATGACCTTTAACCATATGCAAGGTCACAGGGGTCAAATATGTTAAAAACTTTAAACAACTTCTTCTGAATAACCAAAATGCCCAGGGTGATGATATTTGGCCAGTAGCATGCTGAGATGAAGGGCTACAAAGTTTGTTCAAATGAATGACCTTCACCCATATTCAAGGTCACAGGGGTCAAATATGTTAAAAACATTAAACAACTTCTTCTGAATAACCAAAATGCCCAGGGTGATGATATTTAGTCAGTAGCATACTAGGATCAAGGGCTACCAAGTTTGTTTAAATGTATGACCTTGAATCATATTCAAGGTCACAAGGAGCAAATATGTTCAAAATATTTAAACAACTTGTTCTGAATAACCAAAAGGCTCAGGATGTTGATATTTAGTCAGTAGCATGCTGGGATCAAGGACTACTATGTTTGTTAAAGTGAATGACTTTGACTTATATTCAAGGTCACAGGGGTCAAATTTGTTTAAAATCTTTAAACGACCTCTACTGAATAACCATGGGTCCCAGGATGTTGTTTCTTTGCAAGTTGCATCCTGAGATGAAAGGCTATAAAATTTGTTTGACTTTCAATCACAGGGGTGAAATGTATAAAAAAAATAACAGGGTCTTTTGAATGAATTTTAGTCATAAATACTGATATTTTGCCTGTAGCTTTATTTTAGATCACTTTTAAGGTAACAAGTGTGAGATTCATACCAGGTAAGCGATGCAGGCCCATTGGGCCTCTTGTTTTTATCTATATGGAGAATCTTACACATAAACTGATCTTTAATCAGCTGGAGGGACATTAGTCTAGTTGTAGGACGCCAGGCTCGATACCAAAGAGTTGCTGGATCGAGTCACATCACACACTGTGTTGTACCCTTGAGCAAGATACTTTACTCTGCTTGTTCCAGTATACTCACTCAACTCAGCTGTAAATGAGTATGTGGTTGGGCAGTAATAGAATTGATGAATGCAAGCTGTGAGCACCGAAATGGCAGCAACGAAATGGCAGCACCGGCTGTTTGCTCCCCAGGGAGTTGAGAAAGATATTGGCTGGTTGCAAAGGCCCTTTAACCACAGATAATAATTCGTGAACCACTTTGAGACGTACAAAATAGGTTGTGATAAAGTGGTATATAAGAACCTTGAATTATCATTTATTAGCTCACCTGGCACTTCGTGCCAAGTGAGCTTATGCCGTCCGTCAGTCCGTACGTCCTCGTCCGTCAACTTTTCCTTTAAACAACTTCTTCTGAAGAACGGACAGGCCTAGAGTCATGATATTTGGCTGAAAGCTTCGTTGGTAGGAGCCCTACAAAGTTTGAGAACGAAAATGACCTTGACCTGTTTTCAAGGTCACAGGGGTCAAATATGTCAAAAACTTCAAACGACTTCTTCTGAAGAATTAAAAGGTATAGAATCTTCATATTTGGCTGATGGCTTCCTTGGATGGAGCCCAACAAAGTTTGAGAATGAAAATTACCTTGACCTTCTTTCAAGGTCACAGGGGTCAAATGTGTCAAACACTTCAAACGACTTCTTCTGAAGAACTGAAAGGTATATAATCTTTATATTTGGCTGGTGGCTTCCTGGGATAGAGCCCAACAAAGTTTGAGAATGAAAACTAGTTTGACCTACTTTCAAGGTCACAGGGGTCATATATGTCAAAAGC